TAGTTCTTAAGACACAGTCTTAACATAGTGGCTATGTTTATGCAGTTAGCCCCAGGTTTTTACAGGCTGGGCACACTTTGAGCAGGCGAAATTTCTTCAGACGTTGTAACACTCGTGACATGACGTCATGATCTGTAGCAAGTAAAAAAAAAAAGTAATATATACAATATACTCCACTTTCCTGCAATGCTGAAAACCCGCAGCTTAATTGTTTGCATTCTTTTAATTCAGCTAATAGGTCACTCTGTGACTTATCAACAATCTATTGGTCACACGTCTTTAAGTGATACAGATTTACAGGCCAGAGTTCAACAAATCTGAATTTGGAATGCAGTGAAATTTTTTGCATGAGCTTGCATTTCCAATTTCCAGCATTCACATGCATATAAATGGTCAATGGAATGAAAAGTGTAGTGTTACTGCCCCTTCATTTGTGATAGCATGTTAAAAAGGCCAATTTTTCAAAATATTCAGTTCTTTTTGTGTTGAAGGGATTCCCCGAAGCCCAAGTACTGCATTGAGCTGTCCTCTCACCCAGTGGGACTGGTGAGGATGGGAAAGAATGTAGTTGTAGGATGTACTCATGAGACACTGCATGGTTATACTCAAAAGGTATGATAAATGAATCCATATCTGTCACAACAATAATGCCTCCAGAAATGATAATGCTAATTATCATACGAAATCTCCTTTAGGGGAAAAAGCTGTGGACGGCTTATTTGCCAGCCCCTGTTACCACTATGGCGCTGATGGAACTTCCCACACGAGGTTTCCAGGCTGTGCTGGTGGGTCTGGCCAACTGTGAAGTACACATGTACCGAGACAAAAATCTGATCAGCACCATCAAGACACCAGTAAGAACCATCTTGAATTCAAAACCCAGTGACATTCAGAAACATATCTAAGTTGAAGTCCCCGCAACTCCCCGATTTTACTGCCAGGATGTTCTCGTAATCATCATCAGAGACTTTCATTTTTGTCTTACAGGATGTAGTGACAAGCATTTGTTTCGGGCGTTATGGACGGGAAGATGGCACTCTGATAATGACCACCAAAGGTAGTAAAGCATGTTACGTGGTAGATAAAACAATTCAGGGCAACTATAACGCTGAACATATAAAGCATTTCAAATATCATAAACTGTATGTGATCCAGGAGGAGGTTTGATTGTGAAGATCCTCAAGAGGACGGCTGTGTTTGATGACAGGGACTCGGCCACTGGACCTCCAATAGCCCAGAGCATTCGTCTAAATGTGCCCAAGAAGACCAAGCTCTACGTGGACCAGACCTTGAGAGAGCGCGAAAATGCAGTTGGTTAGTGATTGATGCACCGAAGGAAATTTTGTGCATGAAACACCTATGTTGAAATTAAAGTTTTCATTTAGCCAAAAACCGAAACGGTAAAATAAAGTTTTGGTAATTACATTTTGAAAACTGGGGAACTGAAGTTGGTATGCTGTTCAGGGTGTTTTTTGGTGAGAAAGTAAACCAGGCGTCGAAAAGTTCTTGGTAAAGCTATGTCTCAATATTTCTGATAAACTAATTTTACATATTATATGCATATCATATACACATTACCAGTCAAAAGTTAGGAATACGATTTTTTATGCTCACCAAGGCTGCATTTATTTAATAAAAAATGCAGTAAAAACAGTAATATTGTAAAATAATATTACAGTCACTGTTTTCTGTTTATTTGATTTGAAATGCACTTTATTCTTGTGAATTTTGAGCAGCCATTACTTCAGTTTTCAACGTGACTTGATCTTTCAGAAATCATATAATCTCTAATATGATTATTTGATGCTCAGTTATTATCAGTTATTATTGGTACTCAATTATTAACAGTGTTGGGGAAAGTTACTTTTAAAAGTAATGCATTACAATATTGCGTTACTCCATAAAAAGTAACTAATTACGTTACTTATTTACTTTTTATGGAAAGTAATACGTTGTGTTACTTTTGCGTTACTTTTTACATCTGGACAGGGCTTGCTTGTTTGTTTTTAAAATAAAAAAGTTAGATTTTTGGCAAATATAAAACCCTTTTCACACCAAAAGTGAAATGAATAAGCCTCAGGCTGAAGGGAAAGTAAAGTTACGTCCGCACAGTAGAATGCAGAAGAAGAAATGTCAACACACTTCAGCAATAAGAAAAGACACACAAATGTTTGTCTGGAGTAATTTTTGCTTATTAGTATGGTTTAACTGAATCATCGAAGGTCATAAGCAAAGACACTGGATAATAGAATGGGATTAAATACATAAAGGATATTTGTGTTGTTTTAACATTTAATTATTGCAGGTTTGCGTCATATTCTGAGTTGCATTATTTTTATTCATTTTGAGGAATACTGAATCTGTGTTTTATTTTTTTTTTTTGAGGGAGATGAATTAATGCATATTCATATTTATTTTAGAACTACAGTAACATCTTCTGATTTCTCTCAACATGGGGACAGGAGAGCTGTCAATCAATAAATTGGGAAAAAAAAAGTAACGTGTGTTACTTATTTGAAAAAGTAACTCAGATATTCTCTTGTAAATTAAAAAGTAATGCGTTACTTTACTAGTTACTTGGAAAAAAACATATTACTTGTAATGCGCTATACCCCCAACACTGATTATTAACTGGTTCTCATTATCAAAAAACATTTTTTTCTTCTTAATAATTTTGTGGAATGCATTTTCAGGGTTCTTTGATGAATAAAAAGTTTAAAAGAACAGAATTTATTTGAAATAAAAATATTCTGTAACACTAAAAAAAATCTTTCTCACACCAAAATCTGATTGGTAGTGTATCATGGTATCCATAAAAATATTGATCAGCAAAAACTAATTTCAACATTGATAATAAGGAACAAATTACATTTGAAAATATATTCAAATAGAAAAGTTTTCTTTTTAATTGTAAGAATTTACAATATTGCTATTTTACTGTATTTTTCATCAAATAAATGCAGCCAAAACCTGAAAGTTATGAGACTGTCGTTGTCTTTTTCTATGCAGCCATGCACCGAGCTTTTCAGATGGACCTGAGCAGGTTGCGTCTCGCTGCAGCACGGGCCTATGTCAAAGCCCTGGAGTCCAGCCTCACGCCCATGTCAGCGAGCCTGACCGAGCCGCTCAAGATGAACGCTGTGGTGAGGTTGAGCAATTCTGAATGTGCTAACAAGATGACACTGGGCGGCTGATACCAACCTCAACTTCTGCTTCCCGTTTCTGCACAGGTTCAAGGGTTGGGCCCATCCTTCAAGCTTACACTGAACATCCAGAACACTGCAGCGTGCCGTCCAGTCATGAACCTAGCCATCAGTTTCCTGTACGATGAAAATTTGTACAGCATGAGGACGGCCTTTTTCAAGGTGACCTCAGTTGAACAGTTTCATTAATAATATTCTTTCTTGATATAAGCTAATTTTTAATGTGTAGTTATTGAAATTGAGAAAATGTTTTACTGATAACAGTGAATTGTTGTGTGTCTGTAGATCCCCCTACTGGTTCCAGGGCTGAATTACCCCATTGACACGTTTGTGGAGTGCTTGAGTGACAAAGGCATCTCTGACATCATCAAAGTGAGACTCTCACCCTATTAGTTAATCTAAAATGCCGTGGCATACATTTTCTATTCACATTAATATTTGCTCATTCTCTTGCTTGAAACTGAAAATTCTATCAACATTCACCCAAACTGATGGGTTCTGCCACTGGTGCCATCTCAAAAAATAGGAGCATGACAACCTTGTACATTCCCATGATGCACGACATAAATGTTTATTACTGTACAACAAACTCTCTGGATGAAATCAAGCAGCTGTTTGATATTGCGTTTCTGATTTCAGGTGTTTGTGCTGAGGGAAGGAAAGAGTGCTCCTCTCCTCACCGCCCACATCAACATGCCTGTGAGTGAAGGACTTGCACTGAACTGACAGCGAGTCGGACACGTCTAGCTGAGCTTCACAGGCGTCTTCAACTCTTGCTGTGCTCCTAGCAGCAGTTAGGCTTCTCCATAGAGCTGCCTGGAACGGAGAGCTTTTCATCACGGGAGTTAAGAGAAGCTTGCGCTGGCCGAAGAGCCGGTGCTTCCTGTAGCTTAGATCAGGATTGAGGGAGGCATGTCCTCACAGGTAATACCTCTGTACCTTTTAATGGCTAGTGATGGAGCGTTTGATTGATAGCTGCGAGGCCTTGTGCTCCATAGGTCATATAGTTTGGATGTAAGAGACATTCTGATGTTTATTTGTGGTAGTCATAGTCATGTATATTTGTATTTAATTGCATATTTTTTATTCTTGATGTAATGATCACACACTTTATAACACAATTATGAGACTTTATTGACTCACTTTTATTTTAAAATATATTGAGAATCATTGCATAAACAGCCTGTTTAAGGCAATGTGGTAAGAAAAAGATTATTCACTACTTTTAAAGCGCACACACAAATGAAAGGGCGCAAGGCACAAGGGTGAAAGGTCACAGGAGACTGACTCAAAGCCTCAATACTGACCAATCCTGCCTTAGCAACTTCACTATATTATCAGACAAGCTTTTGCTCTTCTTTTCTGTATATCTGTGGAAGTGTTTAGATAATTTCTGTAAAATTATGCTTAAAATTATCTGGGTTTACAGGTAATATAATAGTAACATGGTACCCAAAGAGGACGGACACACACAAACACCATATTTTCCCCTTTTCTAAATCTTTAAGAGAAAAATCTGAGTGAGCATTAGTAACCAAAGGGGGCAGAACTTTGGAGAAAGGTCAGTTCATTCTCTATTTCAGTTATACTCTTACTCCTCTACACTACAGTGACGTAAGTTCAAATGTTCTTTGGCCCAGATACTTTTTTGTCTAAATACTGCTTGCATGCATGTAAACTTTATATACACTACCATTTAAAAGTTTGGGGCCGGTTGGATTTTTTAGTGCTTTTGAAAGAGTCCCGCATGCTCATCAAGACTGCATTTATTTGATCAAAAAATACAGAAAACAGTAATATTATGAAATATTAAAAAATTTAAATGATCTATAATCTTTAATTCTATTTTAAAATAATTGAAAATGTAATTTATTCCTGTGATGGCAAAGCTGAATTTTCAGCACCATAACTCCAGTCTTCAGTGTCACGTGATCCTTTAGAAATTAATCTAATATGCTGATTTGGTGCTCTAGAAACATTTCTATTATTATGTATGTGGAACATGTTTTTCTGGATTCTTTGATGAATATAAGGTTTAAAAAACAGCATTTATTTGAAATAGAAATCAGATGTAACGTCAGAAATGTCTTAACTGTCACTTTTGATCAATTTTAATGCATCTTTACTGAATGTAAAATATTAATTTCTTTTAAACAATCTTTCTGACCCCAAACTTTTGAGTTGTAGTGTAAACAAAAATCAGGTTCACTGCTTTTTCTGAGTATATTCTGTTGGCTGTTGCTTCTCGATCTTTGCTTTCCTTTCATGTTGAATGAAAACTGTGCATCATGTCATATAGCTGATAGGTACCCACTTCATAAATACTGCTGAGGTTACAGGAGGCATGTAGTAAAGAAGATTAGGGACAGAGGAAGCACTGAGGAAGAGGAACATCCATCTAAGTAAACATAGTGAGGGTGATCCACTATAAGAAGAAAGGAAGAAAACAAATGGAGGGAAAATGTTGCAAACAGATAATACTGGGCTACAGAGAGATGAGATTTGCTACTGAAATTTCTAATTACTAATGACCAGTTAAGACCAACCTGGGTGAAGCTGAAGGATACCAATCCATCTTCATCAGTGTCCATTGTTTTAAAAGTTTCTGTTGGAATAAAAAGTGAACTCTTAGCACATCTAGTCCTATCTTACAAAATATTAGTCTTAATGCTACACTGAATTTCATCAGGTTTCGGTAATTACACTGTACAAATTACCATTAAAAAGATGGTGTTTTCTACTTGGCACACTTACTGAATATGGTCTCCAGGCGGATCAGACAGGACACAAAGCTGTCGAAGTCCACGTTGAGGTCTGGCTTTGCATAGCCCAGGATTATCAGCTGGAACAAGTTGTTGGTCAACTTGAAGCCTTACAGAATGTATAAATTCAAAAAGTCTGCATAAACATAATATACCACCGTAATTATAGATGTTGTGCTATTTAAAGAGTACTGCATGTGGCAGATACCTGCTGATTCTAGTGCCAGACGCATTTCATAAGAGCTCATTGTGCCGGACTTGTCCAAGTCAAACTTCCTAAACGCCGCCTAGTAATTTATCGAAAGAAAAAAAAGAGAGACCGTCACCATCTATACTACCATTCAAAAGTTTGGGGTCGGTAAGATTTTTAATGTTTTTGAAAGAAGTCTCTTATGCTCACCATGGCTGCATTTATATGATCAAAATACAGTTAAAACAATAATACTGTGAAATACTGTTATTACTGAAAATTTTTCTATTTGAATATATATTAAAATGTAATTTATTCCTGTGATACAAACACCAGTCTTCATTGTCACATGATCCTTCTGAAATCATTCTAATATGCTGATTTGATGCTCAAGGAACATTTCTTATAATTATAAATGTTGAAAACAGTTCAAAAGAACAGCATTTATTAAAATAGAAATGTTTTGTAACACAAATGTCTTTACTGCCACTTTTGATCAATATAACGCATCCTTGCTGAATAAAGGTATTACCGTAATTTAAAAAATCTTGTTGACTCCAAACATTTGAACAGTAGTGTTTGTCTAACATTATATACACCATAACGCAAGCATTAAATGTTGCCACTGAGAAGATATTGTTTGATCTTCTCCCAGAGAACATGGAAGTATGTCAGTCCCAGCTTTCCAGTGCCAGTTGTCTTCATGGTAGGCTAAGGTTTGACCAAGACTTTAAAGCATACTATTCACAGTATGACCTATAAAAATGGACCACAAATGCTAACGTTCTTGAGTGTGGAGTCTTCAAAGGATACATCCATAAGATTTATCATGCCTCGACAGGCCTCTTTGTCAAATCCATCTGTTTTTATATCTTTATCTGTAAGAAGAACAATCATACGGACATTTTAAACTTCAGCTCACTCCTTTCAGGGAATATTTCTTGTTAAATGTGACTTTATTTGCAGCACATGCGGAATGTTGTCAATTGCCACAGAACATAATTGTGAAACCTGTGAAATTTGCTTTATTTGTCTGTAAGCACACTCACATTTACCAACAACCCGGTTCAGAATTATCTGGAGTTTCTACACATTGATCTCCATTTCCTGTAGACGTGAGTGAGTCAGTCACGCTATTGGGCACTACATCAACCCATGAAATCCTCCCCCTTACTGCTGTCTTACCGGCCCTGCCAGCTTTGCGAAAAGCGCCTTGATGCCCTCATCAATGTCACTCTCCTGGAGTGCAGGCTGCCATAGAAACAACACATTATTTAGCAGCAAAACTCCCAGGATGCATCTGTGTGCAGTACTGTTGAAAACGCTTTACAGGAAAACTCACCTCCTCTGGTACATCTGCTGAAATGTCATCATCTAGCTCCCTATAGAGATATATTTTCTCTCAGCTCTGTTTTAATGTGTGCTATTTCAGTAGCTTTCATTAATAAGTCATTGAATATATATTAATGCTTTGCTAATATATATATACATATATACACACACACACACATATATATATATATATATATATATATATAAACCAACTTATTATGCAAGTGACATATCAATAGGATTTCAGTTCAATAAACAGTCAGATTCAATAGTTTGCCAGATCTTCTTAGGTAAATGGAAACCCTACTTAAAGAGGTTGTTCCACATTATTAAGCAAGTCACAGTTCTCATGAAATATGGTGAGAAAGAAAGATCTTTCTGAAGATGAAAAGTATGAAACAATGCAATGTCTTGCAAAAGGCATCAAAACAAATAATATTTTGCGAAACGCAAATAGAGATTATTGAACTGTCAAAAGATTTGTGAGTGACTTAGAGCACAGAAGATCTTGGTCAGATAAAGATTTATTAAGGAAAGTTTCTGTCAAACAAATGAACTGTATTGTAATGGCAGCTGTAAAAAAGCCACTGCTGAGCAGCAGACAGGTGTTTGAAACTACTGGAGTCTCAAGATCCTCTCCGTGCAGACTGGCAGTTGTGTGTAAAGCTGCGTTTCAGTCACTGCTAACCAAACCTCACAAAGAGAAACCTGCACAGTGACTGTAGAAACACATTTTCAAACTGTTTAGCACCATGGTATTCATGCAGCATGGGATAGTGTGTTGTCCTGCATGAAAATCCTTTTATTTCCGAGAGCACTATTCTTCATTTTATACCACAGCAGAAAAGGACAGTTAAGAATTTCAACAAT